CAATACATATTTAGTTATATTCATATTTCGGACAAGAGTGTGAAGGACAAATGTCTTCCTAAGTACAGACTATGTTTTTTTTCCTTTATCAACTAAAATCTCAAAAACACCATTAAAAACATATTTTCCTCCCATGAGCAACCCTTTTTCCCAAAAGTACAAGTCTGTATGGAATGAACACAGATATTTATCCATAATATTACTTGAGTCCATACCGACAGATGGTTAAGACCGCAACTATATTCTCTCCCTTTCAGGAGCATAAATTATAATAACATGCTAAATCTTTGTATAGTTCTATATCAGATACCAGTATGATGAACCTTACTTTTGTACCATTTAAGTTATAGCAAAATTCAGCTTTCATTGACATACAGAAATGGGTCAGCCTTTAGTCCCCTCTTAATGAAAATAGAAGGGGACTAATAATAACAATTTATTCTCATAGTTTCAATTCTCAGGTTTATTACTTATCATTACACCAGGCAAGCTAAGATACATGTTAAAACCACAGGCACTATATACCACATTTACCCATATACGCTCATAATACTATATATAAAGAATAAAGGTCCCTAACGAGAGAGAAATATCATGCAAAACAAACAAGAACTGTTCGGTAAAAATACACCAGATCACTATTTTATCTTTGTGGTTGTCTCTAGGAATAATGTATCCTATCATAAACACTTTTTACTTCATCGAAATCCTACAAAATGCTCCAAAATACGAGCAAGTTTCCAAATTTCACTGAAATGTCATTGCATGTTGTTTTCGACGTCCAAGCGATGCGTGTAAACAAAGGTGAATTCTGGTCAATTTCTACAAAATCAACGAATAACTGTTAAGATTTCGACATACTTTCTTTAAGGCAACTTGTATACAGTCAAACTGCGATGTCTTTACTTCACAACTGTCCGACGATAACACTAACAAGCTAAAAAATTAAAAATAATTGACAGCTCCGTTCCAGAAAGTAACCATTTCTTACATTACCGCACTGAATATAAGGTAAAGTAATGATTGGTTAAGCGGAAAATCCGAGTTTTAACATTTTCCTTCAACACAACGTTCATGACTGGCCTTTACTATTGACAGGGGATTCAATTCAGACTAGCCCTCTAAAATACTCCAACTAGTCCAAAGTGTTAATGGTGCCTATACAGTTATGATCACTACATCTGGAAACTGGAGATCCCACTGAGTGTGATGCTTATCTTCATTCGCTTGACAGTGACACATGTCCACCTTAAAAAAAAAGCAATAAAAATTATATGAAGTGCAATAATTTGCAAAAAAATGCTTATCTTATTTGTCTCTTCTTACATTTATAATGCAGAGCACTAGATTTGTGTGTCAGTCATACAAAATGACTTTCAATAATACTATTTAAATATATTTGAAATACAATTTCTTTAATAAATACTCATATAGTAATACTAAATTCCTTTTTTGTGATATTTTTTCTGACACATATGTGCAGACAGTACATTGTGTACATCAGTCTTACTGACCTGTGTGATACCATTCTAAGCATGATGCCAAGAAAATTTTGGACTTGTGAGAGGCTGTAAATGACCCCAGATTGATCATAAGGTAATGTGTAACCAACGCTGAAAAGCATTTGACTATATCTCAATCCATTGAGAAGTGGCATCACTTTGAAATCAATTTTGATTGAAAAAATCGAGGCAAAATAGTGATTTTGGGCAATTTTGAGATGTCCCCTCGTTGCCATGGTAACAGAAAATTTAAGCCTGAGCATGTTGTTGCAAGGGCAATGGTCCAGTCAACATTTGTGCCAAGTTTGATTAGTGTTGAAGTAGTTTTTATAGTATTATAGCAATTTGAACTTGTAACGGGAGACTTTTCAATGAAAACAGCCATTTTTCACAAAATGCTCATGAAGTAATGGGTTAAGAAATTTTGCATCTTGATTGGGAAAAATATTTAGTACCATGTACAAAGTTGTTAATCCAACAAATTGTATATCATTCAAAGCATAAAAAATACATAAAAAATTGACAATGGAATGTGTTTTTGAACATCATCTGTCTGGTACCATATTGGATTGAAATGGAATGAAGAAAAATTGTCAGCTTTGATAACGGGAATTTTGACTTATGACTTTTTTCTAAACATGGAAAAGAAAAAAGCACATTTGGCATTATTTGCCACTGGGAATGGGTCTGTTAATCTGACCCGTGGTGACACTGGTAAAAATGCATGTTTTCATTAATTTTTTTTGGAAAACAGTTTGGTTTGTGAAATATACATTAAATATTATATAAGTACCTGTTGTTTGTAATAATCTTCTAGTCTTTCTTTAATCTTATACTGTACTTTTTTCTAGCTACATGTACCAGCCTTTCCAAGTGAATACTAAAGTAAATAATCTTTTATTTCCCTGAAAATATCAATTTAGAGATTTCATTTCAAAATCATCCAATACTACTCTCTTAGTGTGTGTATATACAGAGACATATAAATACATTTTATGTATTTTAACGTCTCTGGTATATACAATGTATATATGTGTCTATACAATGTATATATATGTTTACACTATAATATGATTGTGTACAGCATGTAATGACATAATTAAAATTTGAAAAATTTATGATAATAAAATATTAATAATATTTCTTCATATTACTCCACAGTATTACCACTAAAATAGAAAATGTTCTATCATTTTATTATGATATCTATTTTTTACATGTAGATTTGTGAAAAAAATGTGAATATCAGTAGTGTCAAAAATTGTTAAATCATAATTATAAAATGTCTAATTAACACTGATAAATTACTTCAACCATGTATTGAGAACAGGTATAGATCATTTCCAACAGTCTTGCTGTTGTGTTGACATTTTCGCGACATGGTTGTGTGTCTGCCTTGTAATCAAGAGGTCTGGGGTTCAAATCCCTTTAAGTGCCTGAAGATTTTTCAGGTTAACAATTATCAAGGTGGCAGTGATTTTTTTTTCAAGTTTCAAAACAACCTGTGGCTTTATAAATGGGAAACTATAGCTTGATTAATCAGAAAAGAGGAAAAATTTCAACCACTGAAAATGGAATTTACCCATACATTTAAAAAAAGTGTAATTCAATTTAAAGGGGTTCCATTGAGGTATTTTGTCATGATGGGACTGAAATATTTTTTCCAGATAAATGTACCATTTGATGAATGTTTAGAACACTAATCTTTGTACTCGTCCTTTAGATCATTTGCGCACTTCGTTTTTCCAGAATAGTTATTCAAATTGTAAAAAGATGACCCAAAATGAAATGGCTAGACTTTAAACAGACCTACCGTGACCCAAATTCGGCGTTCTCCTAAATTCGGCGATGTTTTGTTTTTCATCATTCACGCGAAATTTCAGAGGTGAAGGTCAATCATGTTTATGTCCCACGGTCTATTTTTACAACTCCAGTGATTTTCTGCGCTAAATATGGAGATACGGCTGGTAAACATTAAAAATTGTATTTGACATGGAGAAAATTGTGTGTTTTACCTGATGCAATTTCAAGTTTATCTATACTTCCCTCTATTTGATTGATATTTATGCTTAAAATGATTTGACAGTCGCCATTTTTTTTCTAATATTACACTAACTATTTTTACTGCCGATCTAGGTCAACATACTACGTCACATTCCCGCCAAAATAAAAAAAAATACTGCAACCAATCAGAATCGCCGAATTTAGGTGACGTATTCAGATCGTAGTAAGATTTTACATCAGCCATATTTGTTTATATCTGGCAACCGCTGAACGATTACATTGTTAGAAATGAACTTAAAGTAACTTTTAAATATTTGTAGTAAAATTATATCAAGTATAATTATAGATTACTGTAGTTTATTGAAAATGCCATTGACATTTGTTCTTATATCGCCGAATTTAGGTTACACCGGGATACTGTATATAATAATTTATAAAGGTCAAAATAAAATTATTCTGAAATATTCAAGAATGTGCCCCATTTGGTAGAGACGTAACGGCCGTGACAAGACCAAAAAATTGTAGGCGTATATGCCGGTTTTCCTGTAAAGGCAGACATCTGTGTAATATCAATTTGTAAAATCTGTCGGTTTTGCAGTCTAAGTATGATCGAAATGTCTTGGGTACGAAAGACTCGAGATCTCCAAATTACTTCGAAATTATTTACGAAAGTTTTAGTCCTCGGAAACAAATTGGCATCAATAAATAAACTTAATATTATTAGTCATCAAATTCATAACATATTTTGCTTTATAACATACCTTATGAGCTTAACAGACTGATAATTATGCTCGTGAAGTAGGTCGAAAAATATACCGGAAGTTGTCGGATTCATTTAACCTAATTATCGGCTAATTCAGAGACGAATAGATTATCTACATCTCTGGCTAATTCTATTTCAATATCCACTTTGCAATTATAAACTACAAAATTTATCCGATAATTAATGTCTTTTTCAAAAATTCTGGAATATAATACAAAAAAATGTGATGATAAGGCGGATGAGTAAGTTAAATAGTGCAAGCCGTCAAGCACTATGACCCAATTAATTTACTATCCCATTCATAGAATTATGTGACCTTTCAAATTATATCCGCTACGTTTCTAATACCGTAATTCAAGCTCAATTGCGCATTATTTTCAAAAAATAAATTTCTTGTCTCCACTTCTGTTCGCAATAAATCGAAGTTTTCAGAAATTCAGAGCACTATTTTTCACTCGCGGCGGTTATGCGTCGGTCATGGTCGGGTGATCACTATGAATTCAGCTTAGCTTGATATGTTAGAATACAATATAGCATTTAGAGTGGCGATGAAACGTCACAGCAGTGGGCGTTACCCTGTATGGTTGGAAATTTCGGGTTTGTAAGTGCACTAGTTGGGACTACGTCCCAACTAAAAACCTTATCCTTGACCTAATTTCGTTTGTCTAACAAATTAACATCTGAAAACACAAAACGATTGTGAACAAAGAAATAAAAGCATTTCCACAAACCTTTGCGATGTTAATTTTCAGCAAATCTTTGTCTTTGATGTATAAAACTTGAAGTAAACACGAACGTTATTCAGCTGTTGATAGCCAGAAAAATGGCGCGTGGCGTATGAATACGGCGTGCCCTACTTATTTGTCAAAACAAAGTTTAACCAAATTGCATCCGTTAATTCCAGAAAACTTTTGAAAATCTTGTATTGCAATATTGTTTTTAATTATTTGCATAACAATATTTTTTTTTTAAACGCTTTGATTCTATGATAATTTGCGAACTATTTTTTTGCGAAAATAGTACGACTTTTTAAGGCCACATATCATTGTATCCATTGTTTCCTCTTGAGTTATCGACGAAAAAAAAATCATCGGTAGCATAAAATGCTATTGATAAGTTGCTAAATATATACAATAAATGCTTTCATTTCTCTTCGGTTGACTTTTATGTGAACTTTTGAGTATCTCTGCTACAAAATTACACCTTATTTAAATTCAATTTTTTGTACATAGGTACATGGACACACACTTTTCTTTGCCCTAATGCGTAATAATACTGATGTTTTCTTTTCGTACACGATTAAGATTATGTTCCATTGATGAAAGCTAACATTGAATATCATTATTACAAATTTTTTTTCACATCAGCTTTCTCTTCAAGTCATCAATGTTTGAAAGTATACATATATTTCTGCTGCACTACTTTCTTGGTCGCATTAACTACTTGTTTTCTATTGAGCTTAAACACTATTTAATTAGATGTTGTTCGTTCTTTTTCAATATGGAAAACCGATAATATAGAAAGGAAATTTTTTTTTGAAAAAATTTCCTTCCAAAAATGACAGCACAAAACAAGGGGATGAAAGGATTTAGATTCTGTATAATAGAACAAATAAAACATGGCCTTTCGTGGAAAATGCTAGTTTAGGGACTAGTTGTTCAGACTTCGGAAGGTATATGGACCTCAGATGCGCTTCGGGCCAGACCAACCAGTCCGTAAGCTTGCATTTTCCCAGAAAGGCCATTTTTTATTTCTTAAATAAACCCCATATATCATTTCCGATATAAGACCTTTTCTGTTCTAATATGTTTGAAACCGGTTGTACCGTCCTCAAAACTGGATCCCGCGATAACGCAAAAAGTACTGAAAATATTTTTATGAAACTTGATATATGGATAGATGGCAGTATGGAGATTATGCACGTCTTTTTCTTTTCTTCCGATGTTGAAAGTTCTGGTTGCTATGGCAACAAATATTCTGAAAATGTGGCAAATTTAATAAAAGTCAGATATCTATCTGTGATAACGTTTGTGTAGATGAGCTACGCAATTCGCTGGTCAGTGATTTCCAGCAAATATTACAAAAATTTTCAAACAACATTTTTTAATTATAATTAATTAGTAACATAATGGTCAAGTCTACTATAACGGTGTAAAACAGATATCATATTGTATTTATCATCTTTCAACTATGTAAATAAAAAAACTAATAATTTGCCAACTGTCAACTTAACGCAGTAGGTAAGACTGTCAGTTAAATTTTTATTTGAATATCAATGCAAGGCATGTTCGATTCGCAAAAATTATTTCTGTATGAAGAATATTTTTATTGTGTTGTGTTATTTTTTTATTTACTTCTCATTTCACTTTTTCTTTTGTTTTCAATGTATACAAGAAAAAAAAATATTATTATCTGTATATTAAAATTATTAGATATTGTAACAAAACTACCTTGATATCCCAATTCATTTGCATATATCATAAAATTGATAAAATAAGGAAAGAAAAATGTTAGACAATTTCTTAGGCTCGAACTCGTGGTAAAATTTTAAGTCGTATCGTATACCAACAACTTTACCAAATTTGCCATAAAGTTGTTTTAAATGATACTTCTTATCTTAAGAGGATATTTTTTCGTTTGCGTGAAATATGGAATATATTTTCACGAAACATGATAAAATGCCACATATTTTCACGAGCCGGACGGCGAGTGAAAATATGTGGCATTTTATCATGTTGAGTGAAAATATATACCATATTTCACAAAAAACGAAAAAATAACCTTTTTATTTAATTTCATTATCAAAGAAAATGGTAACGAATCCCCTTGCTTGCTACCAACTGCAATTGTACAGCGCGCAATAATTTATGCGTAAGCACGCGCTGTTTGGCGCTACATTGTGACGTCATGCAAACAACTCTTTAAACGTCTGTACAGCGTTAATTACTGAATTAAAGATATTGGTGTTCGGATTAATTTTCTTAGTTAGACCATTTTCTATCATGCTAGATAGTTTTCAAAACAATATTCAAGAAAAAGTTGTTTTGTATTTATCAGATTTTTCAAACAAAACGGCGAAAGAAGTCCCTTAAAATAAATATGAGTTTTGACTCCGCCCACTTTCATATTTATATTTCATATTTATTTTTAAAAAATATGAAATATATTTGACTGATATAGCACCATATTTCATGGGTAAAATTAAATAATGTATTATATTCTCTTCTTCAAAAAAGCTGTTCTACCTATTATCCCGAGGTGATAATTTGGTTCTAACGGTACTTGGGAAAGTCCATTAAAGGGTAAGTCTGCATATCATCGGAGATTGAAAGTGTCAACGACTATTATAGTATAATTTCTAATAAAAATGTGTACCATCGTAGTGGTTAAATTGGTAAATCAGGGTCACTGTAACCTCTTATGAAATGCACTCACAGGTTCGAAACCGACGCTCATACATGACATAGTGATGATGTTATTTTTTTTTCTTTTTCTTTTGTCTGTCTTTTGTATGATCGTTTGAAAATACTTTGTTCTTCCCAATTTCTTTTTCTATTTTTTTTTTGTTATTTGTTTCTTGTTCCCCTCGTTTTAAAGGACTCTGCTACATGTCAAGTGATTAATTAATTAATTAAATTTAGCAATTTAAAAATCAAACTATTTTAAACGCACTACGATTACGAAATATTTATATCTTGAATATATGGATCAATATATAACATACTTAACTTCATTATATTTTTACATTTATGATGATGTCTAACTGTACACAAGTGCATATCAAGCCGTGTCCAAAAAAACAACAACATTGAAGCATCAATGATGGAATTCGGTAGTTTCATATAATATAACCTGTTTATTTGTTATAAGTCGATATTACTAGTAATACATGTATCATACAAATACTGTACATCTTTTATGAATATGTCATCATAAATCGTTTACCATTTAAGTAGTAATTTTATATGATACCAGATCTTCAATATATGGATCCAAGTAAGTCATGTATGGAAACAGATGCTATTATATGAAACCGAGTTATCAATATATTAAATCAATTTTACAATATATGAAACCAGTTTATCAATATATGTAACCGAAGTAGCAATATAAAAGTTGATTTTCACATTATATGATACCAGTTCTTCAATATATGATACCAAAGTAGCAATATATTGAACCAAAATGTCATTATATTGACGGGACTTTTTTACAGGCTGTATTCTATCCTTGCACCGGTATTACAGTCCTTGTTTAAAGAACATCGTGCTTCACTAAATGCATACTGACTGCATACTATAAGGAAAAAATATTTGAAATTAACGTCACATTCACTTAAAAAGGGCTGGGCAGGCAAAACTTATCGTTATATATGTAGGAGTTGTATGTCATAATTTAAGCTATTGAGTCGTACTGACCATTAACAAAAACATGTTTAAAAAAATAAGTTCATCTCGACCTTTACCTTTGATCAAAAATAGGCAGTGCCAGAAGGACACATCAAGGTTAATCTACTGACAAAGTTAATAAATAATTTGTCAAATAATAATTGATTTCATGAAAAAGTTTATGCATTGTAACCCAGTGACCTCGGTCTTTGACTTGTTGACTTGAAAATAGGCTATTTTGGTTTCATATACTGGTCGGAGAGATAACTCCGACGCATAGATAACCCCGACACTTGATAAATAAAATTTTCAGAACTTTGTTTTTCAACAAATAAGCATATGGTCACCTAGTAGTATAGGAGCAGGACAGAACGTAATGATTTTTTGTAAGTTGGTAAAGTTTTTAATATTTTTCAATTAACCGAAACTTTTCGTTAGCAAAAACTGCTTCAAAACGTTTCTTTTTACTAAATTACAATGAGGTAGTTAGAAATGTATTGACCACAGACCACTGACTAAGGAAATATTTTTGAAAACTTGTTTTTACATCAACAAAAATAGATAAAATATATAAGATGTAAAAATAATTAATGATGCCGATTTTCCTGTCATTTTTTACTTAAAAAATTTAAGTGTCGACTTTATCCTACTGTTGAGGGTAAAAAGACCATGTTTTGTATACCCATTCAGGACCCTTAAAGAAGTACCAATTCTCATTTTCATACATAATTTTTGTAGTGTAATGTAAAGTCCTTTGAACTAACTTTATTTTATTTTGGTACTAAGTATTATTAACATTAGCTTGTATACTTTAGCGGTCTGTCGATACATTCAATGAAAAAAAATTTATAGATTGTTTTCGTGTTAAAAATTAAGTTAACTAATTTAAAAACTCTAACAGATTCATATTAAAAAGGGCATATGATTATCTGGATAATATTGTGACAATCCATAGAAGCCCGTAATATATCACCCGAGAACCAGCGCTAACAATATGATATTGTACTGCTCAATATAAATTATTGCGCAGACTGCTACAATTGCACGTTTGTTTAGCCAATCCAAGGGGCATTCGTTTACCATTTCTCCTGAGTAATGAAATCTAATTAAAATAGGTTATTTTTTCGATTTTTTGTGAAATTATGCCGTATATATTTAGTCACTTACAACAATGATTTAAAATGCCCATCATATTTCTCACTCGCCGGGCTGGGCCTCGGCTCGCTGAAAATATTTGTGGTCATTTAATCATGTTTCGCTGAATAATATATTTCCAAATTTATGTCTCACGCAAACGAAATAAAAATATTCCTCTTAAGATAAGAAGCCCTATCACTTAAAACAACTTTATGGCCCAAATTGGATAAAGTTGTGTTGTCTATACGATCTACGAACATTAAAATTATTACACGAGTTCGAGCTCACTAAGAAATGTCTAACTATTGTTACTTTATGCTGTTTCTCTTATATTGAATAATTGCTTATTTCTATATTCGTAATAACCAATCTTCATCAAATTGATACTTCTGGTTCGATACATTGATTCATTTCATTTCATCTCCTAATGTATTATTTAATGCTCCATAAAAATTGATTGAAAATAAATTATTATTTTATCTATAACTCCATTATATTAATTGATGATAATTGAAACTTATTTTTGTATTATTTAAGTAATGTCACAATATCAATTAATTGAGAGTGTGCAATTGAATTAAGCTGTACAGAATCAATGCACGGTTTGAGTTCAAATGCGTGGTAAATTAATCTCACAGTATACACGAGATAGGGGCTTAGTTTTTCGGGTGTTGCATAACATATAACAAGTCACATTTTCGATACGAAAAACGATAGGTCAAATTTTATTATACAATAATGTCACGAGACTTTTGATAATCAATATTTCCATTCTAATACGTTCAAAGAAATAATAAACATAAATTTTTATTTATAAACGTTGGACTTTATGTATATTGTGTTTGGATTAGTAAATTTTTTAATTTGTTTTTCTGTCTAGTAGTTTGTCCAATAAGAAC